CACCACAACATAAGTTCAGCATGAACCTGAAGTATCACAGTGAAGAGTAACAGTAGATAACATTTCCCTTATTGTCATCATTAATTTCGGACATGGGGACCTACTTTCACAGCTTATAGCACATGAGGGGCGGTGGGGTAGCCTATTGGTTAAAGCATTCACTCGTCATGCTGAAGACCCAAGTTCGATTTCCCACATGGGTACAATGTGTGAGGCCCATTTCTTGTGTCCCTTGCTTTGATATTGGTGGAATATTGTTAAAAGCGGCGTAAAACCTTACTCACTCTTATCACCTATGCCTGTTAAAGTGACAGATTGCATAATGTACAAACCACTCAATTATCCACATTCTTTGTTAAACCATTCTCAAGAGCACAAATTTGAACACATTGTTTCACCAACTTTTTTTGTTTTCATTCATTCACTCACTTATAGCACATGACGGTTTTATGGTTATCAGTGGTGTTACTGATAAAAGGCTGCATTGTTGCATGTTTATCATGAGCTGGTTGATATATACTGAGATAATCAGGATGATATGAGTCATAGCACCCATAACTTATTGTTGTATGTCCTCACTGATTGGAGTGAGTGAGTGAGTTAGAATGATTTTAGCAGTGTTATTATTATTATTTATTATTATAGGATATTTACATAGCGCATATATCCACGCAACTAGTGCATGCTCAAGGTGCTGGTATTTTCCCCTCGATCATTGGACGTCAATTTCAACGGCACATCGTATTGTCAATCTCAACTCCCTGGGGAGTATACAACCGAGCTATTGTGGCTTTCTCATCCTAACGATGTTCCAGCAATAACATAAGCTAGGGGAGTGGACACCAATGTGGGCTTTACTTATTGTATCCATGGAAGAATGTTACCTGGGTCTTTGGCTTGACGAGTAAAAGCTTTATACACTAGGCTTAGCTTATTACCCCAACCTTGTCAATTTGAACAGAATCACTAAATATTGGAATTAATTATTAATCAACAAACAGCTATATTTACCGACACGAGCAGTGTACATTAGTTGCCAGCATGAACTGAAAGCTAAAGAATATGTAGTGTTTAAGTCACTATTGAGTATTGACTGAGGTGTCCATGCTTACTGCTATGCTTATGATTTCAATCATGGGATGGTCTGTTCCAAACTTGATTTTTTTACAGCCTAACAATATAAGATAGAATATTGCTAAGTGTGGTGTAAACCAACGAACACACCACTCTATTATACACACTCCGGCACAGCGATGACTTAACATAACATCACTGCCACAGGCTATTTTGCATATCACGTGACCGGACTTTTCACTTGTTTGTAATCAAACGCGCATATTCATAATAAGAAGAGACTGGACTCACGAAAGCTTTTCGGCGCTCTCTTCATAATGTTTTACATAGTTCCATATATATTCTTCCACAACTGCGACAGTTAGGTCTATGACAGTACATATTTAGATATCAAACTGGCTGCATCGTTTGCTCTCCGTCTGCTTCGATGACAGCACATGGAGCCGTACAACCTATGTAAACAAAAGATCACTACGCAAATCGAAATAGAGTGACATGTTTTGGATATTTTCTCAGTGAAACTAAACCATTCTATTAAAGCTGTTTAGTTAGATGTGTAGACTCGTCAAAACAAAAGAGTAAAAGAAATCTGTACATTATATTGAATGGACGTTGCAAGATGTGACGAATCGTCACATGTTCTGGCCTGTGGCAGAGGTACTATGCTGGCTTGCCTCATGGAACTCTGGGTAGGTGAGTGTCTATTATACAGTCTCTTATGGTTCCTTACTGCCAACCCTTAACCAGGCCGTTGTTATCATATGATCAAAATTCAATTATGTTTATTGTTTATCAACAAAGATACTGCTTAGAAAGAACACATTTCAGTTATTGTCATGACTCTCAGTTAGTGGTGGTCCGATTAATTGAAATAATCGAAGATTGGTCGCAGTGACTAAACGACCAAGCAATCGATCATGTTTTCTCATAATCGAACACAAACAATTCTAGAACATTTGTTTTCATTAACAGTATTTTTCACTAGGTTGGTTTTGTCTGTTACATTTCATAAGCACTACAAGCTCGTTCCAAGTCATGATTGAATTTATCTTAAAGACTCTAAGACATTTATGTTCCTCTATACTAGTCATCCTTTAAAGATGTGAAATTTTGCCCCAAAAAGCCCAAAGAACTACATGTTTTTCCCTTATTTTTTTGTGCATTAACACATTTCATAAATGACGCTAACCAATTATTTTCGATGATTGATCGGTTGTAATGAACCAATCATCAGTTATGAGATTTTAACCAATGCCCAACACTACTCTCAGTGATATTCTGTAAGGCCAGAGTGGCTTGATTTTGACTTTGTAAGTAGACCACATGCATCTGTTATCATTAATTAATAATATATTAATATATATTGACATTTGTTATTCTGTTTCAAGTACTGATGACTATAGCAGAAAACTGTAATACTTCAGTTGTTAAGTAGATAACTCCAGTGTATAACATACAGAATGTCATAAAAAGTTCAGATTGTTTAGTATCTACTCTATATTCACCAGCTGTGACAGTAATATGTGTGCTAGTGTGTGATAAATGTGACATTGTAATGAGCATCTATACATGTAGCAGGTTGAACACTGTAGAGTGCAGAATATACAATACGGCTGAAATATAACCATTACCTTTATATGTTTAATCCATTACTAGACAATCGATTGTGATATTCTATATACATAGTATCTGAGTATCAGCTGCAACATGTTATGCTGACTCACATGAATGCATGTATACTTGTGTAGTTCAATACTGAATACATATATACTTGTGTAGTTCAAAACAAGGGAACATCAGTGATTCAGGGATTTACAGGACGCAAATTCCTGCATCCTATACACATAAAAAGTGACAATGGACACAACAAAATCTATTAACGCGTCCACAGGGACTCAGAAAAAGTCTAAATACGTTTTGTACAAATTCCAATCAAGTAAAAATAAGTTGTCACTGAGTTTGCTACTAGCTGGGTTTTGGTATTATTTGCAATTTAATTACCGTAAAAATGTGATGATCATGATACACAATACAAAAACAGTATTGATAATAATACTTAAGTGTCTGGGACCCCCATGTTGTTGTCCAGGATCCCTGAAAATTAAGAGTGAGTCCCAGGGACCCTCAAATACAGGACTCCATGTAAATCCCAGGTGATTCAGCTAAAAATACCCACCACTACATATAGTAATCCTTTTGAAATTAAATTGCAATTAGAAGGTGGTATTAATATCTGTAATTGTATTAGAAGTATTATATCTTGTTATACCCCTGCTACGAAGTAACGGGGTTGTACAGCATTCATTCTGTCCGTCCGTCCGTCCCGAAACTTTGTCCGGAGCATATCTCTTAAAGTTTACATGCTAGGTTCACCAAACTTCACAGACATGTTAATCACTACCCATTGATGTGCCTTTTGCTATTTTAATTATTTTTCTGAATTTTGTTTTTTTGCTGTTTCCATGGAAACACGACTTAGTGCCAAATGTGTTTGATGGTTTTGTCTGGAGCATATCTCTTAAAGTTTACATGCTAGGTTCACCAAACTTCACACACATGTTAATCATTACCCATTGATGTGCCTTTTGCTATTTTAATTTTTTTCAGAATTTTGTTTTTTTGCTGTTTCCATGGAAACACGACTTAGTGCCAAATGTGTTTGATGGTTTTGTCTGGAGCATATCTCTCAAAGTTTACATGCTAGGTTCACCAAACTTCACACACATGTTAATCATTACCCATTGATGTGCCTTTTGCTATTTTAAATTTTAAATGTGTGCAACATGAGAGTCAGTAACATTCTTCACCAACGTCCACTTTATTGTGTGCAACATGAGTCAGTGACATTCTTGATGTATGTCCACTTCATTGTGTGCAACATGAGAGTCAGTAACAATCTTCACCAACGTCCACTTTATTGTGTGCAACATGAGTCAGTCGCATTCTCCATGTACGTTCACTTCATTGTGTGCAACATGAGACAGTCGAGTTCAGTTGTATGTCAGGTTTCCACAGAAAACACAAAAAAATAATGTTTCCATAAATTATTACTGTAATCAGTACATGGCAAAACTATTATCTAACATGTATATAAAGTTTAGTAGAGTCAAGGAGAAAGTCTTGTGAGCTGCTGACCCTTGTCACATTATATATATCAATATCAGTCATTTCCATGTCCCAAAGTGGGAACTGGGGTATGTGAGCTATGCTCACTTCTACACTTGTTTATTTTTTATGTTGTAAAAAAGTACACTTTCAGGAGTTAGGTCTTGAAATCAATCTGTTGCTGTTCATTGTTCATAACATGCAGCATCCTGCGGTCTTTCTGTACAGGTGACGTACAAAACAGTAGGGGTGACTACTAAGGGGGAAACAACTATTGCGATACTGATAGTCTGTTGCAACATACTGTTGCGATATTGATAGTCTATTGCGACCAACTGTTGCAAAAGTTTTTCTCTCCTTGAATTGTTTCATTTGACTGACTGACTGACTGACTGAGTTTAGTTTAACACCGCTTTTAGCAATATTCCAGCAATATCACGGCGGGGGACACCAGAAATGGGCTTAACACATTGTGCCCATGTGGGGAATCGAACCCGGGCCTTCGTGTTTCATTTGAAGTCATTTCTCAAATGAATGTATAGTTAATACAACACAATTGATATGGATGTGCAACTTCTTTATTATTTACACACAATGTTTCTGGGCTAGGACTGTTACTAGCTAGGTTTACAAACCAAAGCATAACATTACTGGACTCAGGTTTCGTACTTGTGGCTGAAGTTACGGATGGAAGTATGATGATGTCCTTGGCTATATATTGCAATTAATTCAGAAAAATGCAGGTGAGGAGAGCTACAGAACCTTGTGACTTACACATCCAGAGAGTTACCTCCCTTACATCAGATGTTTGTGTTTTGCAGCTCGAGAAGGGCTTCAAAGAAGGTCTAGGCAGCGCTAAGGATAAGTACGGCAAGTCTGGAGAAGATGAGATCACTGATGCCTTCAATGACCTGCAGAAGACTGTATGTATTTCTGTGTTTAGTGTTGTGTGAATAATGCTTAGTATACCTTGATCAGAGTAGGGTGGTGGTGGGCTAATGTACCTTGATCAGAGTAGGGTGGTGGTGGGTTAATGTACCTTGATCAGAGTAGGGTGGTGGTGGGCTAATGTACCTTGATCAGAGTAGGGTGGTGGTGGGCTAATGTACCTTGATCAGAGTAGGGTGGTGGTGGGTTAATGTACCTTGATCAGAGTAGGGTGGTGGGCTAATGTACCTTGATCAGAGTAGGGTGGTGGGCTAATGTACCTTGATCAGAGTAGGGTGGTGGGCTAATGTACCTTGATCAGAGTAGGGTGGTGGGCTAATGTACCTTGATCAGAGTAGGGTGGTGGGTTAATGTACCTTGATCAGAGTAGGGTGGTGGGCTAATGTACCTTGATCAGAGTAGGGTGGTGGTGGGCTAATGTACCTTGATCAGAGTAGGGTGGTGGGCTAATGTACCTTGATCAGAGTAGGGTGGTGGGTTAATGTACCTTGATCAGAGTAGGGTGGTGGGCTAATGTACCTTGATCAGAGTAGGGTGGTGGGCTAATGTACCTTGATCAGAGTAGGGTGGTGGGCTAATGTACCTTGATCAGAGTAGGGTGGTGGGTTAATGTACCTTGAGTAGGGTGGTGGGTTAATGTACCTTGATCAGAGTAGGGTGGTGGGTTAATGTACCTTGATCAGAGTAGGGTGGTGGTGGGCTAATGTACCTTGATCAGAGTAGGGTGGTGGGCTAATGTACCTTGATCAGAGTAGGGTGGTGGGCTAATGTAACCTTAGACCCAGTTTGAAAATTAAGCCGTGCTAGTGTAACTGAAGCTGAATAATTTGGTACTGGTCTTTGAAATCTTTATAAAAATTGGAAACTGCATGGTCCTTTACTATATAGTTTTGGGTGTATTTTAGGTGGTTTAAAGACTTGCAAACAGAAGAACATTCTGAGCAAATGGACACAAAAAATTCAAATACAAAATCAATAAAGATATTTGCTGTGCAAAAGAATATATGTAATGTATTGGGGTTTTTCATCAATGTTAAGACAGCAAGTTTCCTTGTGAGGAATAGATCCAAAGTCCAAATACAGGTTAGACACCACACCCTACTTAACTGAAACATGTAGGGGAAAATCCATAAACCAACTTAAAAAAAAATGATGTCATGTTAGAATTCTAAAACAGTTTATCTTCCATCTTATTTATTTTTAGGGTAGATATCTGTAGACTAGATTTCACTATAAAGGAATGTATGAGCAATGAAAACAGCGATGACAATGACTGACTGTTCTTGTCAATGTGACATTACCACTGGCATCACATTTTCCAGTTGCACTGCTGTGGAATTGACAACTACGAGGACTGGTATAAAACCCCTTGGGAGCTGAAACAGAACACGACAAAGACAGTACCACTGTCCTGCTGCAAGAACCCATCCTCGTGCAAAAACACAGAGCTCGGTGCTAACCCCACTGATATCTACAAGCAGGTGAGGAGCAAAGGGAGATAACCAAAATTATACCTGAGATGAAATAGGGACTGATGTATAATTTTACCGTTCAGAGTTGTGTCCCTTAGGTGTGCCAGAATTTTATAATGGTGTGTTTGATACACAGATTTCCCCTAAGTCTGATTCTTGATTTATCCTCACCATACATGTCCTCTTTGCTTCCATCACATAGTGTGTCCTGCATCTCACCAGGTGTTTTTTCACTCACTCACTCACTTACTCACTCTGGGCTGTGTTTCAGGGCTGCCACCGGCTAGTCGTGGACTTCATCAACGATCACATCGGACCCATTGGTGGCGTTGCTCTTGGAATATCTTTCTTCCAGGTGCGTGATTCCAATAAATTCCCGTACTATTGCAGAAAATTTTTATGCTGCTGCTGATCCAGGCTTGCAAATATGATTTGACAATGGGCCATTTTCAGGATTCTTGCACCATTTTCTGCACAAATTTAGCCTATATGGCCCAGTCTGCCCTTGTATCAGTAGTAATGTCAAAACATTAAGGGGCCATTCTTTCACAGACATCTAATGTGCAAAAGAAGCCTAGAGGCCTGCCTTTCTATCCCTGCATCTTCTCACACATAGACCGTTCATTTTCTGATTGATCAGCCGGTCTTCTATTATTTTCAATGATTCCCGATGTCGGCACAAGATCACATTTTCAGCCTGATGTACCCTGCAATATCGCGATGATTGGCCCTGTTGATAACGGAAATTACCAATGTTTTGCAAATGCAAATTGATGGAAGGGAGATAACGTTTTCTTGTCACTCTGGACCCGATGCTTCAAACAGTTCAAAATTATCATTGATAATCGTTGTTCACTGGTCCCTCGGGTTTCATGGGTTGATGTCATGGCTTTATGTTCATAAACAAACATCAAGGTTACATCAGCTCATGCCCCCCTCGAGACCAGTGAACAACTTATAATGTACTAGCCTGATATAGTGAAAAAGCAGTAGGTAGCCTGACCAAGGACGTCGCACAGTTTCCCTGTTTGACAAGTAGCAAATCTCAGCAATATTCCAGCAGCACCAGCCGTTGGTGTCTTGGGCGGTGGGTTAGCCTAGTGGTTAAAGTGTTTGCTTGTTACACTGAACACCTGGGTTCAATTGCACACATGAGCACAGTGTGTGAAGCTCATTTCTGGTGTTGCCCACTGTAATATTGCTGGAATATTGCTAAAAGCAGCACAAAACCAGTCAGAACTTATTCTGTGGTAAAGAATGAAAATTTATGCATGTCAACCTCTGTAATGTGATTAAAACTTTTCAGAGTATATACTTACTCCTATATCAGGTGAAAAAACATTGTGTCCCTCATTTTACAGAAGTTGACATCCATTAATATTCACTCTTTATGTGTATGACTTCTAAATGACCTCTTGTCGTAAGAGGTGACTAATGGGATCGGGTGGTCAGGCTCACTGGCTTTGCTGACACGTGTCATCGTACCCAAATTGCGCAGATTGATGCTCATGCTGTTGATCACTGGATTGTCTGGTCCAGACTCGATTCTTTACAGACCGCCGCCATATAGCTGGATATTGCTGCATGCGGCTTAAAACTAAACTCACTCACTCACTCTCAATGACCTCATGCTGTTGTAAGTGCCATGCCTAGTGTTTTGAACACTGTAAGGAGACGCAGGGTGTTTGATGTATAGTGGGTGACCAGAACAAGTACCCTTATTGAGCCAGTGGTTTGCAGCAAGCACCCGTGAAGGTCCGGTTTGAATTGGTCATCAGTAACCCATACTTGTTGTAAGAGGTGACTAATGGGATCGGGTGGTCAGGCTCGCTGACTTGATTGACACATGTCATCGTATCCCAATGCGTAGATTGATGCTCATGATGCTGATCACTGGATTGTCTGGTTCAGACTCGATTATTTACAGACTGTCGCTATATGGTTGGAATAATGCTAAGTGCAGCATTAAACAACAAACAAAAATCCTGTTGCCAGCAGTGGTATTGTTTTCCATTATCTCTAATTGTATTAAGAATGCAGCTAAGATGCAGCTATGGCATAAACAGGGCTCAGTTCAAACTTTTAGAACTTGAATGGATCCAAGGGTTAGTGGTCAGTTTACCAAAATGCTGACTCAGGAGATATAGATGATGCAATGAAAAGTGCAACTGTGGCAAATAGGTGAAGTGTTTTATCCATGAAGTAAGAGACAATCAAGTGTTTGAATGTTCTGACAAAAGGACCACCAGGTTTGAACTGCTCCATCTAACGGACTGTTGTTTCCTACAGGTTCTGGGAGCTGTGCTGGCCTGCTGTCTTGCCAAGTCCATCAACAAGGCTAAATATGAACAAGTTGCTTAAACACGTCCCACAACAGCGAGAATCGAATACAACATGAAATTATCAAGGAGGGGACACATCTGAACATTAAATGTCAACATGTTTACATGTCCTCAATATTTAGACTGATGTACTGTTTCATTTGAGCTTATTCCTGAAACGAAAAAAAATACACAAATTGTATACTTCAATGTTAGCCATATAATCATCATTGTCAGTAAATCAAGATTTTTTCGGCTGTTTACAGCAATATTTTGGACAGTTTTCTAATGTTATTTGTTCTGGCTTGCTGAAGTTCAATCTTTGTATCATAACAGAAATAATGCATTAAGAAATATATGCATAAAACTTTCTTGTGATAGTCATATTTCTACAGACACTGTTAAAAACTTGGTGGACCAAGGTCTGAATGACAAATTCCTCAGTTCTGTACACTACCGAGTAATATGTCCATGTTTTCTGTTATCAAATTCAGGTGGCATACATCAAACTTTTTTCCTCATTAAAGGTCACAATCAAAGATATCCTCACATCAAGACCTCGATCATGGAAACAAGAATGTTATCTTTGAGACTTAGTGCTAAGGGACATAACTCTGTCTCATCCTAGGGAAAGGATGGAAACTATGTACTTAAACCTTAGGTGACAGTTTCATTTGTGTTTCAGTGGACAGAACAATTTCAGTGACGGATTATTTTGGCCGTAATGTCAAGATGCAGGAGCACGTAAAAAAATTTCAAATGTGTTTTCGGATGATTTGAGATTAATAACTTCTTAGCATTGCAATTAGAAGTTGGTGTGATGAACAATGAGGAAACTTCTATGGATATGCAACTTCCTTATAATTTGAGCGACATTTTGGTGTAGCTGGTAACACTTGCTTGATAACAGTCTTAGCAGGTCCACCGAAACATCACTTGTTTATTCACAGAACTTTCCTTGTTGACATAAATACACAGACGAAGTTGAATGTGCAGTCATCAAGCTAGGAATTAAGAATTGTTACAAATAAGACTAGTTTTCTATTCCGTCATTGAATGAGAATATTATCAAACAAATGTCCAAGATGGCATCTTTTCAATTAAAAATTGTCTGAATTTTGTTGCAAGATGAGATAAGGTTCTTTATAAAGCAAAAGTCATAAGTATTTTAACAGCAGCTTTCACTGATGTGTGTCGTTTGTAGTGTATAACATTATAAAGAATGAAGGGGTCTTGTTTGATGGTTTATATACCAGGTACAACATCAACATGTTATCAATATATACTGAAAATATAAGTTTGGGATCATGAATATGTTTTATCCCTAAATTATTTTGTTCAGTATATATGTAACTAACCTATAAAATTTCAAGACAAAACAAATACAAGCAATCAACTTGTTTTTTAAATATTTCTTGTAGATTTAAGAAAGTAAATTTTATCTCTAACATCTTAAAATCTAGATTTATCCAATTTTGTAGTGCAGTATATGTGTTGGTTTTGATAGATAGCTGTTATCCATATATAATCAAATTTATTATCTACATTTTTTACAAGAATGTTTATTATGAGATGTGTAATGAATGTCCAACATTCCATTTTGAAGCCAGTGTTTTGGAGGTACCTCATGCTGGGTAGTATATCTCAATGTACATCCCTGTGAGCTTTGAGCTGGTAGTGCTGTTTGTTCTGTGCCTTGAACATGACCCATCCGTCAATGCTATGTGGGAGCTGCCTTGCCCCCTCCCCCTTCTTGGGTCCACCCATACTGCTGGCCCCAACCATTTCTTGGCTCCACCCATGCTGTTAGCCCCAACCCTTTCTTGGCTCCACGAATACTATTGGCCCCAACCCTTTCTTGGCTCTGCCCATACTGTTGGCCCCAACCCTTTGTCTTGCCAACTGAGTCCCTGTCATGCTCAGCCATTCTCTTTCTTGCTCATGTCCAAGCACTTCCTTAAGTCCACCTATTTACCTGTATAATGTACACCCACTCATAATGCCACACAGTCATTACTTTAGAGAAATTTTTATGTATTATGTGTAATATTAATGTACACAGTATCCCTTCAACTAATCCAGGTAAACAGACAAGTAGTAACAAATTTTGTCCATAACAGCTTTACAACCGTAGTCCTGGCCACACCCCCTTTCCTGAAGCTCCTCCCTTTGCTCCACCTACTTATTGAGGTACATCCCAAACACTGGTATGATATGTAGCATGAAAAGTATGAACCAAAGAGTTGTTAGGTGATGCCTGACATTAACTCTTTGCTTATCAAGACAAGGCTGTGCGGAAGTGTTAACCCTGTGTGAGCTAGTCACACTTCGTAACAAGGGTTTACAATTTCTACTGTATTAATTCACCATGTCTCAGATTCATCACAAGGTCTGTCATTAGGTTTGTCAGTGATTACATAAATGTTCCAGAGTGAATAGTTTGTAGTCAGTTTAGTTTGACAGTCCTGAGGGCTTTCATATCTACCTACGTATAGTGAGTATTGTGTCTGCGGGGATGATATGGTTTGTACTGTGTCCACCTGGTGGAGTTAGCAAGTATATTGTATCAGTCAGTTGGTATGATATAGCTTGTACTGTGTCCACCTGGGGGAGTTAGCAAGTATATTGTGTCAGTCAGCTGGGATGATATAGCTTGTACTGTGTCCACCTGGTGGAGTTAGCAAGTATATTGTGTCAGTCAGTTGGTATGATATAGCTTGTACTGTGTCCACCTGGTGGTTAGCAAGTATATTAGTTAGCAAGTGATATAGCTTGTACTGTGTCCAGTCAGTTGGTGTATGATATATAGCTTGTACTGTGTCCACCTGGTGGAGTTAGTCAGTTGGTATGATATATTGTGTCAGGTCAGTTGGTATGATATATAGCTTGTACTGTGTCCACCTGGTGGAGTTAGCAAGTATATTGTGTCAGTTAGCGGGGATATAGCTTGTGTCAAGTATATTGTGTCAGTCAGCTGGGGATGATATAGCTTGTACTGTGTCCACCTGGTGGAGTTAGCAAGTATATTGTGTCAGTCAGTTGGTATGATATAGCTTGTACTGTGTCCACTTGGTGGAGTTAGCAAGTATATTGTGTCAGTCAGTTGGTATGATATAGCTTGTACTGTGTCCACTTGGTGGAGTTAGCAAGTATATTGTGTCAGTCAGCGGGGATGATATAGCTTATACTGTGTCCACCTGGTGGAGTTAGCAAGTATATTGTGTCAGTCAGCGGGGATGATATAGCTTGTACTGTGTCCACCTGGTGGAGTTAGCAAGTATATTGTGTCAGTCAGCGGGGATGATGTAGCTCGTATTTTGTATCTGTGTCCACCTGGTGGAGTTAGCAAGTATATTGTGTCAGCGGATGATGTATGAAATAGCTTGAAATAGCTTGTATTGTGTCAGCCAGGGTGATATAACAGCTGAAGTGTTATCTGGGATGATAAGGCAAGTATATTGTGTCAGCGGGGATGATATAGCTTATATTGTGTCAACCAGGGTGATATAACAGCTGAAGTGTTATCTGGGATGATAAGGCAAGTATATTGTGTCAGCGGGGATGATATAGCTTATATTGTGTCAACCAGGGCGATATAATGGCTGAAGTGCTGTCTAGGAAAGTAAAGCGAGTGTTTTGTGTCATCTGGGATTATACAACGGCTGAAGTGTTATCTGGGATGATATTGCTAACATTGTCACAACCTTGATCGTACCGCTTGGACTGTGTTGGCTTTGAAGGTATTGTAAGTTTTGTGTGATTCAGGATGAGAAGCAAGTACTGTGTAAGCTGGAATGATAAAGTATTAAGTCGGCCTGGATGATATAATGAGAGTATTGTCAGCGATGATAAAGCAAGTATTGCTTCATCTGGGATGATATAGCATGTATTGTGTTATCTGGGATGTTATGACAAATATTGTGATGACTCTGAGAATGACTGACGTTATATTGTTATTTCTGTGTACTTTCTTAGAGCCTTCTTGTGAAAATATGTTCAGAGAGTTATTTATTAGCTGCCATGATTGTTGACCTACCTAGTTGTGTGTATATATCAACAGTATTTTGCATACTATTTTCCCTGAAACTTATTGTCACATGTAGATCCAGAGAAATGTCAAAACAACACGAATAAAAAGATTTTCGTGGATTGAAACATATGCTGCTAAAAAATTGTTAAGGATCACCCTGTTCTGTTAAATTTTAATAATCTGTCAATCCGCAACATATTAACTGAAGTAATATGTAAAGATTGGTGGTCCTTAAACCTTTTAGTGGTATATTTTTCCTGTCAGCCAAATATACTTAATGAGAATTAACAGGGTCGTAACTTCTGCCTTTGATAAGCACCACATGTGGTTTTAATCAAACTTGACGTTGGAAAGAGGAATGCATGTGATCTGACAGTTTGGGGTAAATTTGTATGTATTAACTTATTATTAACTAGCATACTTACTTACGTCATATGGTACACAATTTTACGTGGTTCTGATTCAAAATATTAGTAACAATTAAATGTCCATTTTACTCATTATTCATCAGTATTTGTCCAGTTTTATCACATATTTGAAACTTAAGATGTACACTATATTTACTGATATAAGGGCAATCTCTACTTGCTGGAGGTGTAACAATACATGGCTTAAACCATATCACTTGTCCCACATGAGTTGTCTTGGAAACGTGTATTTAAAGTGAACAGAGTGGTTCCATTTCAGAGGAATGAAAGGAGGTTAAGTATACTGGTAGTTACATCATATATTCACCATTACGAAGGTCCCATCGTGGGGTATTGTTTGAAACCCATGACTGGTAGCTTACTGTAGTTTTCTTGGAATACTGCTCAAAGTGACACTTGACCTGACTTATTCAGCATTTGGCAGTTTCTTGCATTGACTATCAAACATTATCAGAATTTTCAAAACAATTTGTTCAAATGAATATTTCTTTTCAATAGAAACGGTATCTGCCTGTGGAAATATGGGTGGTAGGGTAGCCTAGGGGTTAAAGCGTTTGCGCGTCACACCAAAAACCCTGGTTGGATTCCCCACATGGGTACAATGTGTGAAGCCCATTTCTGGTGTTCCCCCGCTGTAATATTGCTGGAATATTGCTAAAAGCAGCGTAAAACTAAACTCACTCACTCACCTGTGGAAATGATGATATTGGCGATCTTAGATCACGATCAGTGCTGCAGTATTGTTACGCCACCAACATGTACAGGTTGGACAATATCTGTAGCATGTCTTTAGTAGCTTAGTGGCTGAATGCTTGATCCTTGATCTGCACGTGTTACTGGCCCTGTGGGGATTAATGGTAAAAATTGTGTTCACAAAACTTTACTTTCACTAGTGCATTGGTAAAGTCGACTGGAAAGAGATAAAAATCTGTATTGTTTTTCTCATGAATTGAATACTAAAGATTTGTGTTAAAGTTTGCAGATGGGTTGGACGTGTAATTGAGAACACGCTTTGGAGAATGTCTTACCTTTCGAATTCATATCTTACCATTATTACAATATGCATGGTTGATTTAAATCTGTGATTTTCTATGGCTCAATTTCAGTATTGTATGGGATTATTTTAAAATATGTTAAATAAATGGCAGTACAAGTGACAAGATATATGTTTTTAAATAATGTCTACCTATTTTGGGAAATATTTGTAAAGGACAAGAAGTGTGTCCACAAAAAAATATGTTTAATCAAGGAACTTAATAAATTCAAATTTTTTGAAATTCCTGTGATTATCATTTGCAGTCAGGTAGTACTGAGTAACAGTTCACTGTTTAGACACAATGTAAATTAATTGCACAGATCAGCATTATCTCATTGGTTCCTCTCATTGTAGCGTGACAGACATGGGAAGGGCAGGATTCAAACTCCATGTCAGCTTATAATTCAAGTATTATTTAGTGTTGTATAACACCATGGTTGCAAGATCATGAAAAAACAAACAATGACCAGGTCAAACAGTTGAAAATAATTATTTTTAAAAATTTGTATGACAAAATCTTTTAGAATGCTGTCAGCTATATTGTGGTGATGATCACCCATGTGGAAGGTAACTTTGCCAGGAAGACTGATTGTTGGATAACTTTGGGGCTTTCAAACCACAAACTGTTGTTAGTACAGATTGTCTAATTAGTTTATTCTTTTTTCTGTTTTGCTGTTGTCGTGATGACCAGGGCAGACTGTGATAACATGTTCACCTGAAGACTGGATAGAGTTACTAGCAAGACGCTAGCTTCTGTTAAATACTTTCTTAGTATGTTGCCATTTCTCAGTGTTCAGATTATTAAGTAAAGTGAATGGTGAGGATCTAGGTTATGTAAGTACAACACACTTTAGTGGTAAAGTGTTAACGATGGTGATTAAAATTAACATCACAGAATGCAATTAATAAAGTTCAGCTATATGCTGAAAAAATGGAATTTTCTTTGTCAGAATAACAGGCATAACAATCTTTGAAGTATAACTGTCATCATGTTATTTTGGGAGAAGGTGTATTTCTGTTTAAGGTGGAAATACATAAAGAATACTTATTCCTTTAGTATTGTTTTAATGAACAATTAGGACAGAAACTTTGTAAAAGCCTTTCCCACGTGTCAGCATTTTTGGCTCGGTATTGGAGACGAGAGAAACGCATTGTAAGAAAAGTGCAATATGTCAGTGAATTATTGCTATATATACTTATACAGTTTCACTATGTTGTAGAAATATATATATATACATAGATATACATAAGCTGTAAGGACTGTGGTCAGAATGTTTATTCTCAGACAGTTCCAGTTGTATCAAGGATGAAATGAAACACTGTTTCAACATGCATTGTTACTTTCTTCATGCTATGCTATAAATGTCATAACACCTTATCTGATTGAAATGTGTGGATCTGTTCTCATAATATGCTGATTATGTTTTGACATTAATTTTATGTGAAATATATATGTCAAAACAATATCGACAGATATTCAGACTAAAAATAGGCTTCTCGTATAAAATACAATTCTCTTGAGAACTATCCACATGATCCAAATAATTTATAACAGTCCAGTATGTAATGCATTGTATGAGACCTTATCCCATGCATCGGTGATTTGTTTCATGATATGCAGAAGTATATAATACTACCTGCATGTCTAAAATCGGATACAAACTATGAAATTTCAAATCAGTTGGAAATTGTTATTAGGAATGCATAGCGTACATGCTTGTAGATCATGTTGGTTCTTGTGGCTCTGTGAAAGTGTTCTATGTTTGATCCCTAGGAGATCTACTTGATCTTTCATTCTACTGTGATTTCTGCTCAACTCTGGACTCCGGAGATGACTGGTCGGGACTCTTGTCTCACTCTCAATGGTGCAATTTCAGTGTTGTGAGTTTCCTGCACCTTAGATCTTACACGTTGGATTGCTGCCTGTTGCTCCCATCTCACCTGTTAATAAATGTGCTATACTCCAGTGTGGTGTTCCTTGTATATATAGAGGATACTAAACGACTTTCCGTGTAATACCATTTTTATTAAACGAGTTAAAGATTTGGTATCAAATGAGTTAAAGCGAAATAGATACTAAATCTTTCACAATTTTTATAGAAATGGTATTTCACGGAAGCGAGTTTATTATTATGTTTATTAATCTCCAACATAAATTGATAGAAACTGCCTAACAGTGAGATGACGCTCAGCTTTCCGCGCTATGCAAGGTCTAATACCATTGTGACAGAGGTATTAGCATTGTGACGTCATTACTGTAAACCATTATGACGTCATATGTCCGGCATCATGCGATGGTATTACACAATGTGTAATAACATTGTAGATTTATTACACAACGATATCTTCAACGGGTGAGTAATAAATGTCTGTACGCATCCCAGCAGAGCCAACACGTTCTGTACTTGAGCGTGTTTAGGTTTACGCAGCTTTTAGCAATATTTCAGCAATATCACAGCAGGGGACACCAGAATGGGCTTCATGCATTGTACCATGAGGGGAATCAAACCCAGGTCTTCAGGGTGACACTTTAACCACTAGGCTACCCCACCGCCCCAATTCTACACTGTATGCATCTCTTGGTTCGTTGGTTTGTTTAAAACTGCACTCAGCAATATTCCAGCTATATGGCGGCAGTCTGTAAATAATGGAGTTGGTACCAGACAATCCAGTAATCAACATCATGAGCATCGATCTACGAAACTGGGATACGATGACGTGTCAACCAAGTCAGCAAGCTTTACCACCTGATCCCGCTAATTGCCTCTTTCAAGCATGGGTTACTGGAGACCAATTCTAACCCGGCTGTCCACGGGTCATTATTAACTGTTTCATGCTAATCACATTTAGACAGCAAGGTGGCCGTTACACAGCCTTACAAATCCCATACAGTAACAGAATTTAAGGATATTACCCCGTTTTATGAACATTGATCATAAGAAGTAAGAATATACTCTAAAACGTCATATTTTTCCTTATCCTGACTCATGCTCTTTTTGCTTGTCTTCTTCTTCTTGCGAACATAGTGGAACACTTGTATCTCCCTAATTGAAGCTCCCTTCAATGTAAAATCACTAATTAGTACTCAGCACGAGTTACCTCCCTTCCACAAGCTCGGGAACGAGGGCGCCACCTCCACCCATGTGCCTCACTCTCTCCTTCTTCGCCCAGTGAGCTGGACGTGAGAGCGCCTGTGTCTCCCGACACACTATATCCTTTGATTATATTTAGTTAGTTACCTCGTATAGACATCTATAGAGGTTTAGCTAGTATCCTTCAACAATTATATATTGATATTTAGTCATGTTTCTACTGTTTATTCACGGACGCCGTTTTTGTTTCAGTGGATTACGCTGATAAAAATTCTGTTCTGTTGTAGATTACGCTTTTTATTCTGCTGCTGATCCGCATTTAATATGCCCTAGTTGTACTGCGCCATGTTCATTTTATTCACGCTGCAGTTGCGGTACTAATTTATCCATTTCTGCCTTTAATAAATAATTACTTTGGCGCTTGAGACGCCGCAGCAGATAGGTCGCTGCGATGCAGAGTCTAGCCATGACTGATACACCTGAACCCTCGCCAGTCTACTGCTGTTGGTCGACCCCCTCCCGCCTGGTGTTCCGCTTAGAGTGGTGGAGAGGCGTGGGACGAGTCCGCCGCCTTCCAAGAAGCGTCCTGCTTCCCCAGACATCCCATCGTCGCAGCCGAAGACTAGAGTTTTTCTACTGCATCTCAACGCTAATTCTGAGGGGAAATCAACGGTCTACTTGAACTTTCTCAGCCGAGATTGTTCCCTCGCCGAGATTTGGGCCTGTATGATGATCAGCCGATCATCATACCTGATGTACATCAAAAGAATGACCGATGTCGGCAACAGTGATGTCAGCGCAGATCAACATGCAGCCTGATGTACCAACGCTGATATTCTATGATCTTCCTGAGGGTCCCGTCGCTACCAACACTCAACGCAGACTTCGCACCCCCAGGGCAGCGTCGACCTCTGAGGGGAAATCAACGAAGTCTACTAGGACTTTCTCAACCGAGATTGTTCCAGCCGCTGAACTGGGCCTCTACGATGATCAGCTGATCATCATTCCCGACGTACGCCACAAGAAGCGACCGGAGACAGCTACAGTGACATCAGCAGAGATCGCCATGCAGCCTGATGTCTCTACACTGACGTCAGACGACTTCCCTGAGGGTCCCGCCGCTAACATCGCAGAGAGGGCACCGACTAATTCGTCGCAGACCATCCCAGATGAACTGTTGCGGCAAATCATGATCATGATGGAGGGCCACCACAGACTGGGAAGCAGCCAGCCCAAGGCCCGAGCCTTCGCGAAGGTTCCAACGCAGACGACACCCCAGAGGCACCCCCATCAGCGTAGCAGCCACGACGAAGCCACCTTCGCTGAAGGAAGTCGCAGACCACCTCCACGGCGACCCAGATGTACAGCTTCGCTAAGGCTTCGCTGGCGGGATAGATCATCACCTTCCTCGGCTTCATCCCTAGATGCGGACTCAGACCGCCAGACTCCTCACGGAAGCCTTCGCTGATATCAAATCGCCGCTCCCAGGACCGACGCAGAGGAAGCTAAGGGCCCTCGCTGAAGGCCTTCGCCAAGGACACCTGACTACACGAGAGCTTCAAGGGCTATCAACATTCTCCTCACAGGTCTCCGAGAAGGTCAACCCATAGACGCAGTTCACCAACACGATCTCCGCGCCGTTAACCGCGCCGATCTCCTCGTACATCACCACGTCGATCGTCTCACAGGTAACCTAGACGACGGGATACAAGTGGATCTAAATCCACAGCGTCTCAGACTACAGCTGAATTTCATAATCAAGCTACTAACACAACTAGATGGTTAGTAAACCTACTTAAACTTTCTGATTGGAGAATTAAACGGAAGTTTCACCCTCCAACTTGGGGATCTGAATATAGTGTTCCAACACCTCACAAGTGAGGTTTATGAACACGCCTGGATGACATACTTGGACTTCATGATAATGATGATTCTATCACGATGACCAGCAAGAGCACTGTAAATCTATCTCCACCGAACCAAACAGAAGGGAATAATACAACAGATTATTTCCTCTATCATCAACTTACGCGAGAATGAAATCTCACGCACTATATCTCCGCTTTGGATCAGAACTGTCATACTACGCATACAAGACGGATGGACCCAATCCGACCCTCCATGAGCTTTAATACTCATCATATTAGAGCTTTAACTTCTGCATTGATCTACACAATGTTATTTGAAATAATGGAGGGTTTATTTTCTGAGATCCGATATGGTGGTTGCCAACCATTATCTGAAAGATATCATCACCGAGGACGTCTCAGGTATCCACCAATTCGATCCCATGGTCCTCGCACAACAGTTGACAGTTCCTCGAGAAGATAAGTCAATCTTACAGATTTCTACTTATCTTATAACAGTACTAAATAGCTACATGCTATATATAATTTGCTTAAGTTCTTTTATCATCACAGTACTATGATTATTACATCATACAATATATAAGTTAACAACTCTACAGAGTTGGTTATTATATATTTACCTTAACTTAATTATATCTTAAGCATAGTACTATACTCAGATTGTAAAATATATAAGCCAACAAACTCTACAGAGTTTGGGCTATTATATAGGTAGCTTAAGCTTATTCATATCTTAAGCTCAGTACTATGTTTATATCATATATAGTATATTAGCTAACAAACTCTAAAGAGTTTTTGCTATTTGGCTTAAGTCTCATCATATCTTAAGCAATATGGTTACATTATAACATGTATTAGCTAACAAACTATACGGAGTTTTTTGCTATATGTAACTTTAAGCTTATTCATATCTTAAGCAGTACTATGTTTATATCATATAGGTATTTTAGCTATCAAAACTCTAAAAGAGTTTTTTGCTATTATATATTTGGCTTAAGTTTCATCATAATTTAAGCTTTATGGTTACATTATAACTTGTATTAGCTAACAAACTCTACGGAGTTTTTTTTGCTATTATATATGTAGCTTAAGTTTCCTTCAAATCTTAAGCTCAATACTATGTTTATATCATATAAATATATTAGCTAACAAACTCTACGGAGTTTTTGCTATTATATATGTAGCTTAAAGTTTCCTTCAAAGCTCAATACTATGTTTATATCATATAAGTATATTAGCTAACAAACTCTACGGAGTTTTTTTAAAGCTATTATATATGTAGCTTAAGGTTTCCTTCATAAACTCAATACTAGGTTTATATCATATAGTATTTTAGCTAACAAACTCTAAAGGGTTTTTTGCTATTATACAATTAGCTTAAGTTTCATCATATCTTAAGCAGTATGGTTACATTATAAAATGTATTAGCTAACAAAACTCCACGGAGTTTTGCTATTATATATATAGCTTAAGTTTAATTATATCTTAAGCTCAGTACTATGGTTATAACATAAAAGTATATTAGTTAATAAACTCTAAGGAGTTTTTTGCTATATACATTTAGCTTAAGTCTAATCTTATCTTAAGCTTAGTACTATGGTTACATTATTAATCTATAAGCCAATAAACTCTACAGAGTTTTGGCTATTATATATGTAGCTTAAGTTAATTATATCTTAAGCACAGTACTATACTCATATTGTAAAAATATATTAGCTAACAAACTCTACAGAGTTTTGCTATTATATATGTAGCTAAAGCTTATTCATATCTAAAGCTCAGCATTATATCTATATCATATAAGTATATTAACTAACAAACTCTAAAGAGTTTTGCTATTATATAATTAGCTTAAGTTTAATCATATCTTAAGCTTAGTACTATGTTTATATCTTAAAGTATTTTAGCTAACAGACTCTAAGGAGTTTATACTAGCATATTAACAAGCTTAAGTCTAGTAGTCTTAAGCATTGTATTAATGTTATATATACTTTATCATAATAAGT